TTGTTCGTCCCCGCCCCCCCCCCCCCAGCCATAATGCAGGAATTATAGCCAAATGCCTGTAGACTGCCTTCTATTACCCTTAGCATTTTGGAAGGTTGATATCTGTGTAACTAATAAGGCTGTATTTTATCGCCTCATGATGGGTACAACGTAAGGTTACCTGCCATGGAAATAAGATGTGGGGTTGCAAGCTAGTTTAACAACTTTATAATGATATTAAGAACCAAGGAACCAACTTATTTTAGGAACATTAGATTATATAAATTTAATTTTGTCTCTTCTGATTTATCCAAGAAGAAATCAACAGTCTAGTCAAGGTTTGCCAGGAGCTGATTGGGTCACTGATGATCATACATGTGACTTAAGTGCATTTTATTACAGATCGTGGGTAGTTGTTACTACCCTCCTGAAACTGTTTATGCAGCCTGCAGCCTATCACGTTTTTTTCTATTAGCCACTGCAATATGAGCAGGGAGTGAGATGGGGATCTGTGGGCAGTTTAATTTTGTGGCTCACACACACACTTTATCTCATATGACTGTACGTTTTATTCATTTAGTTAGCACATGTAGAGATCCACCGTGTGATAAGTGAATGTCTGATAACATCGTGTTGTATATATGTGTAAAGTGGGATTGGAACATATTTCAATGCTGAATCATAACATAAATCCTAGAGTCTCATAGCGTCTCAGTTTTTGCTCTGTGCTTTAAACAAGAGCTGGAAAATGGCTGATGAATGAAAGATGTTGCATGTGTAAGCATGGGCAAAATGAATTAACGGTGAGATGGAGTCTCCGGAGACAAAATCTCATTCCAGATGAAGCTAATATTCCTTCTCCTTTCACCCTTTAACAGAAACTTGTGAGATAAACAGCAAAGATGTAAAATAGATCACTCTAAAAAAAAATGCACTTGCTTTTGGTTGTAGTAAAGCAATTGGCATCTTATTTGAGCTAATTACCTCCCGCTTCATTCCACTTGGATTTCATACACGTTCCCAGAAAACATCGCTACTGATAAAGACCTTGTGTGTCAGCGGATTAGACAAAAGAATTGAGGAGTGCGGGTTGAAAGGCTTTGTGTCCTGTCCGCAGTGTCCATACGAAGCAGCCTTTTTTTGCATAGCCCTGTAAAGGTCGTTGTTTAGAAGATTCATAGATGGGTTCAATCACCTTTATTTGAATAGCGTACCTTCCAGCATCACTGTACAGTATTGCAGTAACCCACACTACAATAAGATGTGCGTTGTTTGCCTCTTATTTTTCAAGAGTTCTGAGAAAGTAGTCGTGCTGAGAGGTTCTGCGGTGCCTTTGAGCAAATAGTGACAATGCTGCATTGCATGGAGCAGAATTGTTCCTGGAATTTACCACCTCGTTTTATCTGAGAGAAGTTATTTTTGTCACTATACTAGTCATTTGGCTGAAAATCATCTTGCGTTTTTAAACTCTTACCGTTCTTCAAATAAGATTGTCTCTTGCTCACTGTTTCTTGTTTATTTTAACTTCACTGCAAAGGACTGGTTATTGTGTTGCAGCAAGTGGTTGCAGATCAGTTGTGTGTGTATGTGCTGCCCTTGTCTGTGGATCGCTGGGTAGAATACCTGTGTGCATTTGCCACACCTTGTCCATTAACTGCAGTCTTTGTAGGATGTAGAAGGCAATTCTAAAAGCATCCTAACTGTTGATTTCTTAATTGTCTGCCTTGTAAGAGCAAGAGACAAGAATTGGCTATAGAAGCTCCTTTCTGTCAGGACAGTTGAATTGAAATCTCACAACTGCTGCTTCATTTGTTTGTGTTCCTGAGGATAAATGGAGTCTGCAGTTTCCAGAGCTATTGTTTGTTTCAGGGCTAACGTTACTTTTATGACATAATCAAATATGAAAGCAAAATGTTCTTCCTGCTTGTGGTGTGATGAAGACAAGAGACCAGTCAGCATGGCTCCTTATGGGTACTGATTTTACTTCCAGAGAAGCAATGCTTTTACTTTTTACTTTTACAACATACTGCATGTGTTGAGGTTTCAGAGGAAGAATTGTGACATGAAGCTCACTTGAACTGCTAAGAGGCTAAGACTTAAAGTATCTTGTGACGGTGAAGCCAGTTATTCTAGCCATTCCCCATTCCACGGGAGTTGTGTTGTATGAAAAAATTTATTGGAACAGTTATACAACCCTAAAAGAGGTAATGGAGGGTTGAGTTTGATTCGGCAACAGTTTTTTGTACTCTTTCTTTTTTTTCCCCCCACCCTTTTGGAAGGGAGCTTGGGAGAACAATGGGTTGGGAACTGGGACTGGCTGAAATCCTTGTTGAGTTTGCTAGTGCTTGATATTTGAGAGAAATTACTTAATTTCAGGGTTACTGCTTGCTGGCTAATCCATTGAAACCTGCTTCATTTGAACAGATTACCTCGCCAGCCACGGCCGCCTAAGTGAGTCTGAGGCCAGGCGTAAATTCTGGCAGATCCTCTCAGCAGTGGAGTATTGCCATGGCCGAAAGATTGTGCACCGTGATCTCAAGGCTGAAAATCTTCTGCTTGACAACAACATGAACATCAAAATAGCAGGTACCCAGAATGTTGATGATATTCAGTAACAGCTTATTTTTATGAAAGCAGTTACGGTAATTCAGTTGCTGCTGCCCGAGAAATCCTGCTGCACTTAACGGTATAGAAAATCAGAGTGGGGTGTGTGTGTGTGTGTGTGTATATATATATATGTGTGTGTGTGTGTGTGTATGTGTATGTATGTATGTATTTTTTTAAATTATGGCTATCACAGTAAAGGCAGCTAAAATAATTCCCAAATTAGCTCCGTTATGTTTTCAGGAAAAAGGAAATAATTTTTGGAGTCATCGTCATTTTTTTGTGTGTGTCATAACATGTCTGTAACGTTGCCAGATGTTCAGGTTAAAACAGAGTTAATCAAATAACTTCTTTCAACATTAGAAAAACTCAAAATGGAAGCTTATTGATTCTTTTTCTTTGCATGCATGATTTCATTTTAATTATAAATTTAGACACAGCAGATGTTGCCAGCAGTGGAAATTATTTTGTCGGTTGTCAACTCATTACAATTCCACGAACCCTTCCATGCTGGCTTTAGCCCTCAGACACTTGCAAGGGGAAAGCTAGGTAACATCTTGATGTGGAGGACTGTTGAACTTCAATCATCAATAATATGGGAGCAGAAAAGGCAGACTAAGTGCTGTATGAAACTGGTTTGCATAGCAGTTAGCTTCGCAGCTCTGAGAAGGAAGCGGCAATAGACTTTCAGTGGGCTGAAAAAGGTGGAGTGCTAAACTCTTGTAAGCTGCAGATCATTGTTGCATCATTTTACCCTTGAATTTCCTTTCTGGAATTTCTGAAATGGATCAACTGAAAATGTGGCTCGATCTCTAATGCCTCCTGTAAGGATAAGGCTGCAGAAGAACATTAAATGTGCCTGCAGATGTCTGACAGATTTCTTTTTGACTACAGAATACAAAGGGAGCATCCTGAAAGAGTTTAAAGGAAACAGAAAAGGCATGGGATGTTTCTTTTGCAAGAAATTTAAGACCTGCCTAGGCTAGAAGAAAATGAAATTGAGAAACTCAGGGAAAGGATTTTTAATTAGGTAGCATAATTTATTATTTAAATTAACACCTGGTTAACTAGTTAGCATCTGTGTCACAAAGATTCACCCCTTTCTCTGTGATACTACAGCAAACATTGGGAAGACTGGGCATCCCTACTCTTTCTGGGGATTCATTTCACCCTCAGGAAAAATTTCTTACATCCTTTCAAGTCCTCTTTCTCAGAATAGGAAATCAACGCATCTTTTAAAATGAGCACTTCACCTCTGAGATGAAATGTTTTGGCTTGAGCAAGAATTTTATCCTCTTCTAAACTTAGAAAAAAGGAACCCATAGTCACTGCTGTCAAAAGAGAGGTTATCTTTGGCTTGGGATTCAAAGATAAATGGGGTTTTACTGGTGGGCTAAGGAGCATTTCTTATCGGCATATGTATTAATGGAGTAGCTTTCCCAGCTTCTGGATTTGTTTGTTGCTTTTGCATTGACCTTTGTTTTGCTTGTACATTTAAAATATTCCTTTCTTCATTCCTTCACCACCACTTTCCTACCCCTAGCATGTTTTTCTCATGGTTTAAGAGCTTACAGAAAGGTTAAGTAAGGGATGAAACAAAATTAAGGAAAAGGGGAAAAAAAAGTATGCGAGTTCCAGAACCATGATTTTGGTAGAGTGTTCAGCTAATTTCGGTTATCAAACCTGAATAAAATGGTTATCACACAATTCATATCTGGTTATGGTTATCAAATCTGGGCTTTACATTTTTGGCAGAAGGAAAGGTATGGGAAAACAGACTATCTGGAGCAAAGGAGGGAAGACTAGTAATCTGGTCTTTGACAGCACGTCCTGTGCGTTTCTTGGCTCTTTAGCATATTAGAGCATTTTACAGCAGTTTCATAAAAGCTATACAAAAGTGTTCTGTTATTTAATGCTTTATATAAATTAATAGCAACTTTGCAGTAGCCTCTTTTTTGGTTCATCTGATATTAAACTATTTACTGTTATCTTTTAATTTTCTCTGTTCTATAAAGGTGGGCTTTTGTATTAATGTTAAACTGTAATACTAGTAAAAGCTACTATCAGATGAAGCAAAAGGATTTTACAGTTGCTTTACCAGGAAGTTGTAGTTCCAGTGTGAGTTCTTACTTGGGGCTTTTGGTGCCTGAAGAAAGCTAAAGAAACAGTTTAAGATGGAGAGGGTAGCTGGACTTTATAACAGAATGGCCCAAGTATAACAACTGAGGATGTTGGGATTGAATGTGTGATATTCAGTCTCAAAATTCTGAAAACTAATAGGGCAATTCAGAGTTTGCTCAGAGCTGTTGGTAATAAGGCCGTGAATTTGGCAATGAAAGGTCTGTTCTACTTTGTTCACCTTTAATTGAGCAAATTCATCAACTGTTTGTAGAATATTTTTACTTTTATTTGTTCTAATTTCAAACTTACATTTACTTAAAGCAGTTGTTTGCAATCCTATAAATTTATCATTGATTTAAGATTATATGTGCTATGACAATGTATGACTTCAATAAATGCCAAATCTAAGGAGTGCAAGTCACATGGACCCCACTTAACTCCCAGTAGCTAAACTACATTAAGGGGGATTTTTGGCCTATTGTTCATCTGGTCTCTTTCCTCTCCTTCTGATCTGCTGTTTGTCTCCCCGCTCACACCACCGCTTTCCATCTGTTTTAATTTTTTTTGCTCCGTATCAGTGTTCAGCACTGTATCTCGTCGCATTTAGCCAAGGATAGTTTTCCAGAACTCCTCCGCGGGGGCCTTGGCCGCCTTGAACCAGGGCAGTATTCAGAGGTATCCCTTTCATGACTGTCTTTTGCTCTGTGGGGAAGCAAGTTCCCTGCCTCCCTGAACATTGCAGTGCAAGTACAACGCAGGGTCACAAAAATACTACTTCAAAGGCGTCCCAGGAGACCTGTTAGCAGAACAAAGGTTAGAGACGTGAACTGTTCTGTCATAGGGAATTTCCATGCGTAGGTTCTCCAGGGACTGAAAAATAAATAAATGCATTGATGAATGGTTAAGTTACTGGATTCCATCATCTGCTGCTATCTCTTTCCTCCTTTTAGCTGTTCCTCTGCTCTACCTCTGTATTACAGAATGTTAATTACTGTGGTCTTTGTGTAAATGATCATATTAACTAACGGTGATTCATATGATCTGATTCTTGCATGTCGCTTTGTCAGGCTTCGTCAGATAGATTACAATTCCCACGTCCAACGTCGGTGATAAAATAGCTGGAGGAAGATTATGATGGGCAGAAACTTTTGTAGTGATTTGTCCCCAGTCAGTTGTTTTGTTTTTCTCTGCAAGGGAGATAGCTGATGAAATCCACAGGATGGTGTATTTGTGATTTTAGAGTTATCTGCTGTTGCACAGGTCCACGAGAGCAGTCTCTTCCAGTGGTTCATATTCTGCATGGTTCACTTATCAAGCTGAGGAAGAACAAAGGGCACGCAGGATCCCAACTCTGATAATTAGAATTAATCTAGCAATTTAAAAGCAGTACAATAACTAGTTAATTATGCTAATAGAAAGTTCTGCAGTGTCAGTATGAGGGCCCATGCGCTGAGCCCTGTGCGCTGTGCTTGGGGCTCTCTCTTGCTGATCATTCCAAGCAGCTAGGAAATAAATCCAAGTAGATACTCATGCTCGTTCCAAGCTCTTCGTAACTTCCATTGAATCTCTTGGTTCCTTCTGATGTTTCTAAGGCTTTTACTGAAGTTTTTTCTCTTTGGGAAAACAATGTTTTTTGGTCAAATATGTCCATAACGTTGCCTCTGTATTTCAGCTTACAGGAGAATAGTTAAGACTCAAAAAGAAATGTTTCTAAAACTGTGTGCTGATGAGACTGCCACCTTCTGTGTTTAAACAAGGAGGCAGCACTGCAGGTCAGTGGCTTTGCTTCAAAGTTGTTCTAAAAGAAAGAAGATAGATGTCCAGGGAACTTTCTTCAGTCTTAATAACTGAATGACAAACAGAGGATGCATGAAGATCTTTAGGTGATAGCTTTTATTACCTGTTATTCTCTAGAAGATATGAGAGGGTTGGGAGCAAAAGCCTCAAACTTAAACTTCAGCCTAAGTAACATGAAAAACAATATTAATTGGATAAAACATCCACTGAGAAGATTGCAGCTGAAGACTACTATACCGTGTGGTCTCCATCACATTAGATACCATATTTGTTTTAAAAAGTAACAAGATGAAGCTCCTTTGCTCTTCTCAAAGTTGTTCCCTGTAGATAGTCAAAATGCTCTTCTACTCGTTACTATTTTTTTTTGAAAGGACCATAAGGGCTGGATTTCAGTTACTGCATGCTTCCCACCCAACAAAGCTGCCAGATTGAGATGCTTTATAGATGTCTCTGCAGAAATCATGCCATCTTGATTGTAAACCTATTGTGTCCTGAACCAGATCAGGTAGGAGAGACTGTTATTTTGAAGTAGGTGCTGGCTTGTCTTGCTGGTGGACAGTAAAATGTGCATTGACGTCAGAACTGGCTGATCAGCATTCAGTTCATGAAGTGGGTCAGGTTTGTTTCTAACACACTCATACCTTTCCTTTATCGGTACCTCTCTCCTCGTGATTATCTCCTTCACTCCTATTGCTATTGTAACAAAAGATCCACGTGCCTCTATGAAGCCAGGCAGGTTGAATCTGTGCAATTTTAGGAAAGTGGATTAATTATAACTCTGAAGCTAGTGGCCCTTCTGGAGGATTTTTAAAGGTACAAATTAGATACCACCTCATATTGCTAGATGCACAGCAGAAGTTGCAGTAGCTCTGGCAGGGAGCTTCCATTTCTCACATTGCAAACAGGTCTGAAATCTTACTCTGTTTCCATTTTTAACAGACAAGAGATTCCATTTAAATGATGTACATGCAAAAAATTATACCTTCTAAATTCGAGATTATTCTAAAGGGGGGTAATGAGATTGAGAAACAAAAGGCCACAAATGTTGAGAGCCAATATTTGCA